CAAAGTGGGTTCCTCGTCATCGAATATACAAGACTACACTATATCTAGAAGGATCACGAGATTTAAGAAAAAGACGTGAATTTTCGAGAATGACTTGGCGTGATACTAGTCACGTGACCTCGATGTGACCTCACAACGAACGACTCACTATAAAAATGAGTTTCTATAAAAATCAAAGATATAACTTCAGAATGATTACTGGTAGAGGAGTAGCCTTAAACTCATAAAGTATAACTTCAGCATAATTCTTAATCTTAAAAACGTATTCATAAAATAAAAAAGCGACGTTTTTTCAGCGTTTTTTCGCACATACAAAAAATATATTGAAAATAATTAGATTTAATTTCATATAAAAGCAAGTACTGAAATACCCCTTGGCAATATCTTGTTTGTCCAACTGGATGATGTCTATCGTAAAATGCTCGTCAGATTATTTTAAAACTTCATCAGGACTCGAAGGTTCGCTGAAACTTTAAAAAACAAAAGTTAAACTTATATTCTGACAAACAATATTTTGATGTTTCATTAAGATTACCAAAAAGGTCCTTAACCTTAGAAAGTGTAAGTCTAATTAATTGGAATAAATCAGATTTGTCGTTGCACATTGTATTATATAAATGTAATATGTGCTTATATTGATTTAAATGTTACACACAGGAAATAAGGAACTGCATGAACGGTAATCGGTGTTTTCAATTTTAAACAAAAAATATCTATACATTATTTCTAAATGGCATTAGTATACTTAACATGAACCGCAAGTTAAAAAATATACTGTATATTAAAGATAATACTATTTGTGTATTTTGTGCAATAGAATTAGCCCCCCAGTGGCACAGCGGTATGTCTGCTGACTTACAACGCTTGAATCCGGGTTTCGATACCCGTGGTGGGCAGAGCACAGATAGCCCATTGTGTAGCTTTGTGCTTAGTTTGCAAAATAAACAAACAAACAAACGATAGAATGAAAATTAATATATAATTCTAAAGATATGAAATAGATATTGTTGGGAAAAAGTTACAATGGTTTGACAATTGAATATATAAATGTGTTTTTTAAGCTATATTTATTATCCAGAGGTCAATATATTGTGGGCTGTTCATCAGATCCACCACCAGTCTGAAGAACTCAACATAACGACCGCATTTCGCCAGCCTATGTTTAACGTTTACATAATCTCGGTAAGAACATTTTAAAGAGTTTTCATTGTGCTGGTTAAAGATAAGATATATATGAATAATGCATGTGAAAAACAACTGTAGCTGAAAAATTAAAGCATTTTTCGTTTCTCTTCAGCACACTTATAGTCCAAAAATGAGAAGTATTAGTTTTTAAGCCTTCAGGTATTTTGAGACATATCATGAGAAGCTTCACTAGCTCCATAAATGAGAGTGGACTCTACAAATAAGAACAACTGGTCACCAGCTAGATAGTTGTATGTTTTGCTGAAAAATTCGATTTTGGCTGAATGCTAATATCCTGCCATCCTTAGATATAATAAAAACCTAAATCCTGCATATATTTATATCCCAGCATTGACACATACAGTATATTACATATAAGATCCATCTATTCCAAAAACAATCTTTTTTTTTCTTAATTCCATAATTATGGTTATAAGGTACATAGTCATTTCCATACAGCGAAAGTTATATAGAAACTGATAGATTTCAATAGATTATAGAATTACACATTTAGTTGCTTAAAATTTAATGCACCTTCTTAACTTTAGTTCAACTAACTTTCTATCCATAGTCAAGAAGATTCAATTTCAGATGTTTTGAGAAAAAGCTTGTAACAAGAATGGCAAGTACCAGAAGCAAACACCCATTTTAGGAACTACATGACAAGAGATACTCTAGTGAAGCTTTTAGGGAAATCCTGATGTACTGGGGAGAATGATTTGTTATCACAGTTATGGGATAGCTAACAACATCTATCAGCATCTACATGAATGATGATGATGACCAATCAAAACTTTTACCCAGAAAATAATCAGATACATCCCAAAAGAAAACTATCTATTACAAAACTGTTACAGAGCTAATGGGGATATATATTCGAATACAAATGTCTACAAGAAGGCTAAAGGTGATGAGTTCTCTTCAGCCTTGAGTATATTAATGAAAACAATAAAAGGCGTTCTGGTGTCAAACTTTGTCCCAAATGTTAATAGAATAATATTATCCATTTTGAACTTGTTCCCAGAACAATTCTAATTTGTTAAAAATATTTACATACATTGCTTGCCTATGGCACATTATGAGTTGAAAAAATGTGGAGTAAGATAAGAAAAAGTAAATTAACACATCTTGGGGTATCACAGCCTCTACGGAGCTAATATTGCCTCTAGGGGGTAATAAGACGAAGATGAGCTCAGATTGAAAATCTTATGACACCAGTTTATTTTTCTTCCATTTTGTTCTATATATACCAACAATCGGATGAACATATGTAATGAATTTATTAATTTTTTTGGCCTCTAGATAGCAATAAGATCGGTAGATCAGCTCAATGTGACCAATGGATTTTTTCCTCATTAATAATCCTAAGTATAATGATGAGACTTCGTTGTCCATTTATCAATGTTGAATTCGTTGTGCATTTATCAATGTTGAAGTACAAATATACTCATTATCCAGACATTTTCGGTCCTTAAAAGGCAGTCTGGACATTAACATTGAGTCGAAATAAAGACTTGTAATCAATCAGTTTTTCAATTCAAATACACATATATTTAACTAGTGATCAAAATTCAGTGGACAAACCACATGTATAGTGCCCCAGCCTACTATAAGGTTAAGTTCAGTAATTATCAGGTATAAAATATCTTTACTAGTATATATTTGTATATTTATTTTGCATCTTTAAACTTTTCAGATATTCTACCTTCCATTGGCTTTAGGAATTCCCCCTGCTGTATTTGTTGTACATCATGAGCTTAACCTTCTCTACCAAGTCTGGATACACACTCGGGTAAGTATATGAATATCTGTTCTCGAAATAGGTCAAGTTATTATTGAGCCTATATATTTGACTCTCCTTCTAATCAAGTATAGCTCAGTAAATTAAGTGCTGTAAGTTAAAGGTGCATGTGGTATCAGGCTTTCATATATCACAGGAGGTTCATGAGGCTCTAAAGTTAATAGATAATATATTCATATATATGAGAAGTGGCAATAATTGGTAAAGCAGACAGTATAAGTATTTCTATTTGTTTGTTTTTTGCAATTTAAAACTAAAACAAATCGCCACATAAGTACATATGTGGCCAGTGGTTAGCATTGTAGGCTTCGAATCTAAAAGTCCAAGGTTTAAGTTTCGATACGATCCACACTTTCAGCTGTAGACTCGTTATAAGAGGGGCAAACAATCCTGTCGTGGTTAAAAGGGCAGTGGGTTAAAAAAAAAGTTGCACATTTTCTTTTACATAAGATATTAAGTGATTTGCATGAAAGTCAAGTGTTTATTAAAAATGTCAGATGATAGTGGAACTTTTAGACATTTTAGAATATTGGGGTGGTCTTTCGACTCTCCCGTCCTTCCTCCTCCCACTGCTTACTCCCTTTATGAGCTTTATATATAGAGATTACACGAATAGAAAATGACGGGCAATTTTTCGATTAGGTTATCCTCCTGTTAAATATATTCTCATAAGCACAACATGTAAAACGTGTATTCTGAAAATATGACTTCAAATTTAAAATAGTATATTTTGTTTTATCTGTTGATCGAAGTTTAGACACGTTTGAGGAGTCATAAGGATACACAGATCTCGAATCACCACAATAAGCTGTCAACAGATAAGTGTCCTTCTTTCGAAGTTTAGACACGTTTGAGGAGTCATAAGGATGCACAGATGATTTATTGTAATGAGTCATGATGCACAAACGTACTTTCGGCTTCAAATTCCTTTATTTATCTTTAATAGAAATCGAACCCTATTTCTCAGTTACCTATTATATGAGCAAGCAATACTTATGCACCGACTTTGATACTTGTTCATGCATAGCTGGTGTAAGACCCAGTATTTGGTCGGTACAAGCAAATATCGATTTCATCAGGCAAACAAACAAATTATGACATTAAAAAAGCTGTTGCATCCAACATTGTTTATGCTGTAGGTTAGCCTTTCCTTTATTGTTTTCCACACGTACTTAGCCTTAGAAGCAAATAAAAATCAGATTGTTTCAGTAAAATGGTATCATAAGTGTCCTTCTTCAGCTTATTGTGGTGATTCGAGTATTTTATATTGAGTTGAAAAATTTTCGGCCATAAGACAGTTCATGTTCCTCTCAGTTCATCAGCATATTCATTGGTTCTGCTTATGCTTCCTTGTTGTTTATTTGTCCTAAAAGATGTATTCGAAGTAGTTTTAAAACAGAACTTTGGCCGGGCGTGGCTTAGTGATTAGCACGCCGGTCTGTGGATTGGAGAATCGGTCATTCTCATCCAGTCACCATAAAATTGGTCTCCAAATTTTAGAGACGCAGGTCTGCTATAAGAGTAACAATAAAAAAACAACCACAAGAAAGAAAGATGAATACACACATATGTCGATGTAAAAGTAGCTAAAAAACTATCAATGACGTGTAGGACTCCTTCTACCATTGCCATAGGTTACAGAAGTCCCCCCCCCTTCCCCTTGAGAAAGTGTTTACAAACAAGTTGTACGTATTTCAATTAAATGTACACAAAATATTTCTCATAGATCTTGATCTTGTAAAGAGTTTTTCGTAATATTCTCCCCAGACACATTGGTTGGAAAAAAAATGATCTGCAGAAAACTGTCTGAAGCAAATGAAAGATATGAATTAGCTGCAAAACGAAAGAACAAAACTGAGTGTATTTGAACGTCTGCGACAAAATGGGGATAATTTCCTGCTGACCATAGGGAAATGAATAATTTTTAAACATGGTATAGAGCAGCGTTTCCCAAACTATGTTCCTCGGAACACTGGTTTTCCGTCCGAGATTGATAGGTGCTCCGTGAGAAAAATCCTGATTTTAAATTTATTTATTTAATCAAATTACATATTAATGAATTTTTACAATATATTTTAGGTACAGACCTCTCCACTAAGCTATTATGTAGAATAGATATTGTATCTTCTATAATTCTTCTTCAATGTGAAATCGATATTATCTAATTCTAATACATAGGGAAAAAATTCATAATAAGTTATGATCGTACAAAAAGTGTTAAATATTTGATTGAAATGAATAATATACAAATCTAGAGGACGCTGCGCGCACAAAATACCCTCTCCACCGATATTTCACGTGTCTAGTGTTCCGTGGCCATAAAAGTTTGGGAAACGCTGATATAGAGGAAGTGGTATGTAGAGTTTTATGTTGCCGTTGGTTTCTTATGTAAAGGAAAACTTAAATTTCATAAATAACGTAAACTACTACCAGACGATCGAACTTATACCAGTTATGTGCGATACAATTCCCGTATTGTAAGCCCAGGAAGAAGATATGAAGACATCAGGATAAAGTTTCAGTTCACATGTCTACAACAGCGTTACTATAAATCCTGAAGAATGAAATTATGTTTATGTTATCTTTACCTTTTTATGGTATACTTGCGAATCCACCAGACTGCGCACCCATGGATATTTGTACATTTAGTTTGTTTAATCGTGATTTTGAAAGCCAAAAGGCCACGTTTAGTTGAAGGTAAATTTTGACGTATGGTCGGCATTATTCGTAAAAGATTGTTTATTGGAAATTGCCATCAACAACTGAGGAAGTAGTCCAAAGAATTGTACGGGACCTGGGATAATAATTTTCACTTCTCATCAAGGACAAATTAAGAATGTGTTTAATTCTCAAGGATAAAATATCATTTTGTATTTAATAAACCCTTTGCATTTTCTAGTTTGGTGTTCATTTAAACATGTCCATCCTAACGAATATAAACTTTTAAACTGAAAGACTTAGTTTTTTGTCGGAATAAATTTATTTAATCGCGTATATACCTTTGATTGATTTATAAACAGTAATTACGATGTATGTAATTGTTTTACGAACGTACCTGCTTGCTATATAATGTTACTAGTCTTATGAACGTACCTGCTTGCTATATGATATTACTAGTCTTATGAACGTATCTGTTTGCTATGTAACATTATTAGTCTTATGAACTTCCCTGTTTGCTATGTAATATTACTACTCATATGAACGTACCTGTTTGCTATATAATATTACTAGTCTTATGAACGCACCTGCTTGCTACATAATATTACTAGTCTTATGAACGTACCTGTTTGCTATGTGATATTACTAGTCTTATTAACGTACCTGCTTGCTATATGATATTACTAGTCTTGTGAACGCACCTGCTTGCTATATGATATTACTAGTCTTGTGAACGCACCTGCTTGCTATATGATATTACTAGTCTTGTCAACG